GCTGAATACCCTCTACATATCATACTAAGGATGTGTGCAAAAATAATTTAAAATAAAAATATAAAATTCAAATTACTTTTATTAAAAAATCCCGTGTATTTTGCACGGACTGTTCTAATTACCCCACCCATTTACACGTACTGTTCTAATTCCCCACATGCGGGGAATTAGAACAGTCGAAATCAGTCAACCGCAGATCTGCTCCTGATCCTGAAGGAAATGGAATTTAGAAAAACGGAAACGACCATTCGACAGGAAAATATCTCCTCTACAACTCTTGCCAAGGAACTATCAAAAAATTCCTTAAGCTAACTGAGAGGGAACGAAAATACAGTGATTTAAAAAAATACTGTTCTAATTACCCCACCCTACTCTATGATGCAAGATACAGTTATTGAAAAAGTTTTCATCTTAAAAATAATATCAGGAAAAAACTTTTGTTAAAAAAGGAGCTCCCAAAAACCATGGTTTTCTGGAAGTCCTGCTTTCCGATTTTTTCAAACCTTTTAAACATCACCACTAGAAAGGACATGGTTCGAAGCCTCTAAACCTCAGGTTTCATTAGCTTTGGTTTGGTAGTTTCAGAGTCAGGTTTGGTGTATAACACGCCTGTTGAAGTCATTTCAACCGACAAATTATTCACTAGGAAGAAATTTATCGATATGTCGTCTGTCTTAACATTTGAACTATCAGCGAGAGAATACTCATTTTATTTTCTCAATTTGAGGTTGTTTAGTGAAAAATGATTTCTGTTATTTTTATTATCTTATGTTTGACATAGAGAAAACCGAAGTATTAATATTTGAAACTTAACTGACGTTTGATCGGAATGTAATGAGCGTCGAACTGAAATATATGTCATTTTGTTTATGAAAAAATTCATAAAAAATCAGTATCATACACACACACAGACAGCAATAATTTGGTTTGAATAAAAGCTAATATCTGTGTGACAGCCGTATATGAATCTTTGAAAACTTTCAAGTTATCATTCATGTTTTTGAAATATTAACTTTAATATATGTTTGGTATGGTTTCTACTTTGTGAATGTTACATAAACACAACGATACACCCTTGATAGTATCCCCTTTTTATTTAATATCTCTTTTATCATCTTATTAACGTTTAAAATATATCCCGATAGTTTATCAACTACAGTAGTTGTTCGATTCATTAATCGCATGCCATTAGTTTATACGCCAATATTGCTATTGTCTTTCTTTAGTCGCAACTACAATCTTGTTTGCTCGTTTCGAGACGATCATAGGCGTGTGACGGAATACGGAGACTAAGTCAATCAGAAGTTTTTATAAAGTTTTTAGTCTCATGGAAAGGGGTAGTCTTCACTTCAACTGTATACTATCGGGATAGTTTTTGCGTCGAGAATTATTTTTGTATCGAAAAGCCAGTGATGCTGTCATAATCGCGATAAATACTAAACAGGATACATGACTGCTAACCAAGTAATAAGTGAAACGCAAATCTTTTCTGAAATAGTTTTCTGCTGAAGTAATCTGACAGCTCAATGCTACTCGGCAATATTCAATGCAGCTAGAAAAATGTAGATTCTATGCGTAACAGCTATTGAAAATAAATACGATCCTCTTCGCTCTTTATAATAGCCTGTCGTGACTAGTTATGCACCGGTGTCGATTATCCGACACCGAAAAACTCTCAAACATTTTTGTTTAAGATTTTAAAATGATATAAAGAGTGAGCACGTAACATCTATTCACTACTGTCAAAAAACACCTGATTTTATCTGTATTAGTTTCAGTCAACCGATAATCAAAAAGCTAAAGCCGCTAAAACCAGAAAAGAGCACACACAATAACGAACGAATTTAATATCTGGTATTTGTCCCTTAGTGAATGGAGTATGCAACATGTTTCTTCCTCTGATCTTCTGTGTTATGTACAGCAATTTCTCGAATTACATATAGCTATCGAGACAAAATTTCACAATGATACTGACGAGAGGATCTTTCCAGATGTCCAACGCCGACTTCAATGATCTTTTGCCTATAGATACTATATAGTATCCTACCATCTATGAAAATTTCTTGAATGCGACAATAGTACGTTTTTCCGATGTCGGTTTAAACCGAATATCGATTTTTAGATCTGAAAACCGAAACCGGTGTATACCTAGTCGTGATCTATCTACAATGGTGTTAAAGCATACCCCCAGTTTTGTTAATGCTTCGAATTTCGATTTGGCACAGTGCATAGCAGTTTGTTTGACAACGTGTCAGGTAACAACAGACTCTTGTGCGGACCGAAGGACGTTGAAGGTAATCTTCGTTTTCTACAATGAAGAAAATTTATTTGATTGAATCCTAACATTTTCTTTAACTAACTGTCAGTAGAATATAAAGTCAGAAAGAGTTAATATGCGATTTGTACTGGTTGACTCTCTGGGTATTAAATCAATACTTCTTTTTAATTCTTCGTTTTTCTTCGTATTCACATCAAGAGAATAAAAAAGTAAAAAACTTGTCGTTTTTGTCAGAATCGTTAAGTTCCTTTTAAAAAAATAAACGTAACAAATTATATAGGTGATAAAAAAATCACTTCATTTTCTTCCTTTCTCACGAATTTTATGAACGTATTTCAATGATTTTGACTTTTCGCTGATGTTAATCTGTTTACATTTTCTTTTACCAGATTTCTGACAGTTACAGCTGTATCTTAATGTAAGTAATAAGCGTTATTCTATCTCTTAGTTTAATCAATAATCTGCATATATTACCCTAATCAACAGAAAGTTAGTGTAAAAATATAAACATTGGTAATACGAATCTAACATGCTTTAGAGCATGAGAAAAGGATGATTATTACATAGTAAATAAGTCACGTTTTTCATGTTTGGATAACTTATTTAATTTCTTTGATATATAGTTGTTCAACAAAACGTAAGTTTTACACTCATTTTTAACTCTTTGAAACTTGTTGAGCTTCTCAAAACAGCAAACAGTACAATTTTTCTTTAGTGTTTTTTGAAGGTTTCAAAGCTTCTGTCAAGAAAAAGAATTTTATAGACATTAATTAACCATGTGTGTTTTACTGTATCTAATATATGTGAAGCGCAGAGTAATTTCTTACAAACACTTAGAATTATTTTCAAAGATCTGGATTTCTCTACAAGTACAAACTTTGTGATCAACTTGTTCTTGACAATTATTGACAGAATCCAGCGTTTTCCATATAACTTTGGCAAGGTGGAGAACGTTTTATGAAGCAACTCTAAAAATTAGCTGATAAAAAAAAAAAAAAAGGCTTTCAACTTTTCGGAGTAATTTTTCTCCTCCTTCCCCCACCTAATCGCAGATGGAATCGATCAGATCGATGTTTCATTCAAAAACCATGAACCGAGCAATCGAATGGCCACTTGCAGCACTAGTCGATTTGTTTCAGTATTTGTCAATCCACTATTTGTGTACAGTTGAAAAAACTTGGACACAAGTAACTACAAAGTAAAAGCAGACTCTTCAAAAAAAAAATAAAGAATGGCAACAAGTCTTTTTAATTTGATTCTTTGGAGAACAAATACTTCGAAATAAAAGCAAAAACAATCGATCTTACTAATTTTTAAAAAGCTTGTGTGAATCTCTCTGTCGTCAAAAAGAAAAAGTTGTCAACCGTCGCTGATTATTTGAAATTAATTTGTAAAATTGCTTAAAAATCGTCGATTTATTGACAATTAATTGACTGATTTATTGCAAATAACTTAAGATTTTCTTCTGATTTCCATCCACTACATAATATCCTATGAAAAATATATTTTCTGATTTCTGAAGAACTCGTTTTTTTCTGGAATACATCTCAAAACATAATAAAATATTCATTGCTCGCCATCAACTTTAAATCAAGTTTTTTATTATTTTTTTCGTTCTTATATCGTACTTTTAATTCTATTTACTCACCAAGACAAACTAAAGAATGTTTTGACAATAAAAGTGTTTAAATAGTTTTTTTTTCTTATAAAATTGTTGAGAATAATCTCGACATTAGATATGTGTTTAGTGTAAAAGAAAATTAAATCTGAAGTTAAGCTTTCAACATGCTAATGCGAGCATTTTTGGTGTAACGATTTTGTTTTAGAACTTAGACCTACTTTATAACTCTGTTATGGAAAATAGTGATCCCGCATCAGCATCCAAACCAATTCGCTATAAAAAAAAAGAAAATGGAAAAATTCGCTACGTTTTTGTCGATCAAGATAAATTTCAAAACTTACCGTTATTTCCAACCACATTGACGGAACGTAAACCAGGCGGAAAGGTTTATTCTTCCATGAAATCTGGTTCTATTTCTACTCAAGCTTTGACTCTTCCACCTTCAATCTTAAAAAAAGGACAGTCTCAACCGAAGAAGAAATCTTCTGTAGTATCGACTACCTCAAATTTATCCAGATTACCAGATCAACGTTCCAATTCACCGACGATGTCCGATGTAAGTTATTCGTCCTCGAATTATTCAAAAGCAAATTCGAAACAATTTACCAATTTGTCACCAACAACGAACGTTCAGAAAGAGCAAAGTAAGAGGAAAAAGGTGAAAGCTGACATATGATATAGTTGATATGATGCATCCTTCTATATATAACGAGAAAAATGTATTGCTTTAAGAATCCATTTCCTTTCCGAAATCTATTTTCGGCAAGAACCAGTTTTAAAGACGCCAAACTTATCTATCATCCATTTTAAAAATAGAAGAAATCTATTGTGTTTTGAATAATTGTTGATAGGAATGAGGTAGAGACATGCGACTTCTCTTCTTCCCGAATGGTAGGCATTTTACTGGAACCTATATACCTCTATCTCATTAGCTCTTATATCTTAAAATTAATTATAAACATGGGTTGTCCACTATGCTGAGCCTCCTGGCAATGTTTCTTTTTTCAGAAGAAAACTCAAGAACTAGGTAAAATAATCTATTTTGGATTATATTCATAGAAAATTAAAAGCATAACTCGGTTAAGGGTAGCTCCCCTCACTTTCGGCACTCTATGACCGTTCTCCAAAAAGTTACACATTTCTGAAGTTTTTCCTTCAAAGTCTAAAAATACTCAACTTTTTAGTTTCATAAACTTTTCTCTCTTTTTCTATATATTCAAGTTAATTAATTAATAATGTACACATAGTCTGACAGAAGAAAGTATTTTCTTCATAATGAGAATTTTGCGATCAGTTTTTCTCGTGGAGATATAAAACATCGCGGCAAATGCCCTGAAAAAAGTGGCTGATGTACGAAATGTGTTTTTTCTCGAAAATCATTTTTTTGCTACCGAGCTTCATTGGACCGTATTACGACCCGCTTTAAATTTCATTCGATCGAGTTAAAAATTTTACCAGAGGTACTCAAGGTGATAACGCAGAGGTATAATTTTGGAATTTTATTTTAAACCTTTCTTTACCGAGTCATAGGGTTTCTAAAATTGAAAATTTGATTTCGAAAGTTTTTCGATATTTTTCCTATAACTCGGTAAAGAAAGGTCTGACAGAAAATTCCAAAATTATACCTCTGCGCTATCACCTTGAGTACCTNNCCGCCGCCCCAGTCCCCCCCCCCCCCCCCCCCCCCCGCGCCCGCCGCGAAATGTGGTCCAATGAAAAACCGAGTTTTCTAGAAAACCGGTGAAAAGCATTAGTTAGAAACTAGAATCAAAAACAAAAAAGTGCTCCTTTAAGTTTCCAATCAGTTCTGAAAATATGAAGCCTTAGTTAATTTTAGTTTTTGTTTCACAGCATGTCTACGGAAAGCCCAGAATGAGGCTACCCTTGAAATCAATCCAAACTACAGCTTGATTCACTTATTTTCAAACAGTTGTTGTCAGTTGACCGTATTTCTGACAAACATAAGACGTTTTATATTTTTATATGGTTGGATAGAGCATTCAGTTCTCTATCGAACTGTATATTTTGCATCTGATTTATTCTTCATCTTGACGAGAATTTAGTGAAATTCTAAAAGCCTTCAAAAACTTTTTGCCACAGGATTTTTGGTATTTTTCTCAGGTGATTATAATCCACTAGACATACAAATCTTTTTCGTTTTTATACGACTGGATAGAGCGTTCATTCCTCTATCGAATTATCTAATTTGAGTCTAGTTTAGCTGAGATCTTTTACATAAATTCTACATTATGTAAATAGCTTTAAAAGTTGTTTTTTCATTTCTGTAACGAAAAGTGCCAGGTGACTTAAAATTTAAAAATTTTTGATTAAACTTCCTCCTCAAATACACGACGGTTTCATTCAATACTTTGTACAAACACGGCTTTGATGGATCTCTTCAATCTGAAACCATTTCCGTGTCAATTAAATTTAGTCAACTGACAAAAAGTGCTTAAAAATAAGTGAATCAAGGTGTGCTAAAAATTTCAATATATATTTCATTTTGTCTGCCATATACTCTCGATTTCAGTAGAAGTCTTAGGAGTGAGTCAATAGAAAAAACTTGATTTTTGAAAAGACTTTTTGAAGTAAGTGAATGTTTTTTCTAATCTTAAGTACAGGTTCAGGTTTAGCAGACAAAATAGGACTATATAATCTCTATCGTAAGTTGAGTTTGTTCTGAAATGTCACTGAAACTTATAATGATCATTTAGCAACGTGAATTTTCAAAATTTTGTTTATTTTGTATACCAGTCTTAAACGCTTCCATTCATCTTGTGGTTATGGTAAATTAGACCTTCATCGTTCTACAGTAGAGATACTAAGGCAGAAGTCGACAGAGATTTATCAAGAAAAAAAAATTCTATATGGAAGTATACCTCTTAAAGTATTATTAGACCAGCTTTGCTTTAGTTTCTTATCAAAGGTTTAGTCTTAAGAGTTCGAAAATGCTTTGTTAATTTTTTTGAAATATATATTTCTCAAAAAATTAAGGACTCTGTTACGTTATAGATATAAGTTTTCTCGTCATTTTAACCCTTGTCCTACCAAGCGGGGCCCAAATGGACCCCACTGCAGAAAACAGACATTAAACGAAAATATTTTGGTGTCTTTCTTCTGTCAAACATATGGATTCAAATGGTGATATAGATAGTACGAGAGACCGGCTACATGATGTACTATAGAAGCGGACTCTGTCTGTCTATATAGATTTTCATAATTAAAACAGTTTTTCCTAGCGAAAATAGGTTTTGAGCGCTTTCCAATGTTTTGCATTTCCTAACCAAGAGATTTGCGTTAAAATGAAAACAAA